AGAATATATAGAATATTTTATCAATCTATATTTAAGTATGAATCGTTAAAAAGAATAATGAAAATTGAGACATAATATTGGAATATCAAAAATATCTCACGTGAATAATTAATTATTAATTACGTATTAAAAGAATCACGCAAGTAATATAGGATTGAACAAATGGCAGAGATGGCACAAAGCAAAACGCGAAATGTACGACGATACCTGTTTGTTAAAATCATATAAAATATGAACAATTGAATAATTTTTCATACGCGACAGTTGCGTATTCGAACTGCGAACGGCGGGGGGTGGGGGACGAATAGCGAGGGGGAGCGTGCCGCGCCGCGCGGCGCGGTGGTTAACTACGTCATGACTTTGGCATTCGTTCGGCAACCTTGAAGGGAGACGGCTGTAATACGAATCGCTCCGAGAGTCGCATTAAGGGGATCCTAATCCCCATAATTTAATTGTTGTTAGTATTTCTTCTTTATTAATATTTCATTAACATTGATTTAGAAAAATTTGTGTTATCGTACATATTTTCAATGTTTTATCGTATAATTCCATATTACTAAAATTTCTTATTCTCTCAGATTTCTTTCTGTATCTAATAAGAAAGAGATTAGCTATTGGCGCTTGTTAAGGAAGTTTCCTTCCTATTCCGCGTTTAATATTCACATAACCAGTAAATGACGTTGAAGGAGATCTATCTTATCATTTCCCTAAGCATAATAGTATAGTTATTTTTAGCGATTGCGCATTCTGTGTTTGCGCATAGCAGCACTGATAACGGGAAACGGCCGAGCAAGGTGTTGATTGGCCGTCAAAAGTTGTTTACGTTACGGAACCACCAGAATCAGGTTTGAAAATTAATGCGACAATCGAGGCGGGACCGCGACACTTTTCCGGCATTTACGATTCACACTTTTTGTGCCGGACCTGACGATGGTGCGATACGCCGCCCTGAAAGGATTATACGATCTGGAGAAGACGATCGGTAGCGGCGGCTTCGCCAAAGTGAAACTTGCGACTCATGTCGCTACCGGCGAAAAAGTTGCCATCAAGATTATGGAGAAGACTGCATTAGGCGTAAGCAAAGTCTCAATATTTATTTTAAAAAAAGGGAATGTTTATTGTAACTTTGTCTGTCAATATTTTTTTTCATATTCTGTCTTAAAATATGTGTATTATGTAATTATTCTAGGAAGATTTACCAAGAGTGAAGGTCGAAGTAGAAGC